TTTTTTTTAATTTTTCAAGTTAAACAAATCTATTTTTTTACTCTAACCTTATTATTATCTATTTACTTTCATTAATTATCCCATCACAAAATATTTCTCTTCATCTTTTATTTCTTTTTAAGAGTAATATAAGTAAACATAAATTATCCTCAAATTCTTAATTTGAAAAAAAAAAAAAACAAAAGTTATTTTGCCGTATTAGATCAGTCTGATGTGTATGGACATGAGTATATGTTGTATGCTAATTTTACCTAAATTTTTATAAGTACGATTGATAATCATTTTTTCCTTAATTGATTATGTAACTTAGTAGCATCAATTTAAAGTATTTTTTTAAGAAAAAGAATTCAGACAAGATAAGCGATTATGTTGCAAAGTAATTGCAAAAATACTTTGGTCTCAATTGCCTTTTTTATCTGTTACACGTGTACATTTTACAAAGCAAACTTTGCCCAAACTTTTAATCCGAGCAAGCGATACCAAACAGCTCCTTAGGGTGCGTTTGACATTGAAAAATTCAAATGACCCCAAATTCCAAAACCAAATTACTAATTCAAGTCAACGGAAGCCACCACGTCAAATGATCCAGATGCACTCCAGATGACGATTTTGAAGAGCCACGTCAAATTTCAATACTAATGGTAGAACTAATGCAAGTTCATAGAAGGTCCATGTCCCAAAGTCCCACCACAGAATACCCAATTCACATTCCAGTTCTAACAATAACCAATAAATATTGAATGATCTTTCTAAAACCATATCAAAAATACACTGAGCCTGTGACCACATTGATTTACTTGTAATGTTTGTTTGTCGACAATAAACTTACAATAAATTTTATGACAATGCGTGAAGTAATTTTAATAACATTTCTTTCGGGTACGTACCTTAATAACATTGTTAGAATATGTACAATGGTGTCAACTTAAATATGGGTACAAAAAAATCTTTGGTGACGTACTTTTCAATTACTTTTGTCTAGCCTACTCTATATCTAAGGTCTTTGATAAAGATGCATCTTAATTTTGACAAAAGATTGCCTTCGGGCCATTTAATTAAGTGATTGTCTATTTGACATCAACACATGTTATATCAAATTATTTTTCAATTCTTCACCAGTCCGGACTGAGAAAACAGACTTTCATTTTTATATAACACGAAGAATATATTAATGGGAATTAAACCATTTGTGCGAGTTCTCTCTCATCTTTCTCCCCGATGGTAGACATGAGAGATTCAACTACAGTGGCTCAAATTGTGGAGATTGTGAAGATGCTTGTCAAGTTTCATCCGCTATTAACGGTAACTGGTTTTATCTGTCGGGTAATACTTCTACAAGATTGGATTGAAGAGGAGGTTAACATTCAATGGAAAGCTCTCAAGATGTATTGCCAATCAACAATGAGAGCTTTGCTATATCTTATTACTGAGAAGATGGAGAATCTATCAAAAGCCCTTCAAATGCATCTCAACAATGAAGCGATAAAGGGTCAACCGAAGGCCAAGCTAATTGGTAAAATAGCCCTATTCTCTGCCACATTTCTTATGCTTGATATAGAGTTTAGTTCAAAATATGATAAAAAAGGGACCAAAACGAAGTTATTGTTTTTTATTGGCCTTGACCTACTAATATCTTCAGAGCTTTGGTGCCAACTAGAAATTTTTCGTGGAAAATGCGGCTACATGGCAAATTCCACATCAAACTTCACCTTCTTTATTTTGGCAATTGTTTTTCAAAAATTTTATGACAATTCCCTGAGGAGCCTCAGTGTTGTATTGTTCATCGCAATTTTCTTTTTATGTCTACTGGTGGTATTGCAACCACGGACAGATCTCGGCTTGTTTAGTTTCATCATTGGGGTCATTGGATCCATTACTTATAATTGCTTCCAGTTCACGTCTCCCACGTGGATAGTTGCCTCCATCTGTTTTGTGTTGTTTGGTTTCAAGAGCTGGCTAGATAAGTACTGGTTGGATTTGGAACAAGATCAATCACTGACCTCTAAAAATACCCAAGCTAGAAGCACTAGTGTGATTTTGTCAGCAGGCATGCGACTTGCAAAGGCAAGCTTTGTAGCTTCTGTTGTCAAAACTCCCTTGTCCAACTATAAACTCTGGTTAGCTAGGTCAATTGGTTGCATGTCTTATGGTCTTCGGATCCATCAGATCTATTCCAAAGATGCCCCACTGCCCTCTGAAAACACCAAAGGAGTTAGCAGTTCAATTTTAACTATCATAAATGTTGCACAAGGCATGTTTTGGTTTGCTATAACCACATCTCCCATGGCAGATTATAAAGACTGGTTATTTATAATAGTCAGTTATATGATTTTTTGTTTTTGGTTAATAAGCTTTTTTCCAAAAGATTTGTTACCGCCTTCTACAAATACTAAAGGAATTACCGGTATGATTTTGTCTTTCCAATCTGT